GTTAAGAGGTTTGATTAGTCAGGTGAACTGGTTGCACACTAGGATAAGACCAAATGCTAGTAATGGCTTTGTGGAGCTCAATACCATGCTAAAACATGTCATAGGATGAGGAGGTTCTGAGAATAAATAAAACATTGAATAGATTAAATTCAGGAAAATATGTATTCAAGTTTCCAGTCTTGGATGATCCAAAAGTTATGAAGTTAGTCATTTTTAGCAATTCTTCATATGGCAATCTTCCAGGTCATTATTCTTGTATGGCAAGTTTTATCATATTCTTGGTAGGAGAGAATAAACAACATTGTCCATTGGTGTTATAAGCCAAGAAAATAAAGAGGGTTGTTAAAAATATCCTAACTGATACAGTACTAGCATGAGTGAAACAATAGATGTGGGACTGTATTTTTCAAAATTCTGAAGGTAATCTAATAAAAGGGGCAATCTGAGAAAATAATTGCCCATAGAATATTATGTAGATAATAGGTCTCTGAATCATACTGAACCCTGCAGAACTCCATTGTAAACAGCCTTCCAGTCGCAAAGACATTGGGTTTACCATTTCCCTTTGCTTCCTACCACTAAGTCAAATTTGTATTCAACTTGCCACTTTTCCTTAGAACCCATGATTTTTTAATTTTTCTGGCCAGTAGGACTGTTAACACTATTTTATCTCTCCACAAATAGTGTTTTGCCTGATATTTACAATAAATTCTGCTTTATTTTATGCTTTATGTACTTTTAAGAAATATATTCTTGTGATGTAGCTATTACAAGCAAAGCTGGCATTTATTGTATATCCTACCTGCCCTGAGAAAATTGTGCTGAGTTGCCATTTTGAATTGCTGCAGTCCACAACTGTAGTGATACACTAGATTAAGAGTCAACAGCATTGGGGATGGATGGAGGAGGGCTAGTAAATCACATTGTTAAGTTTGTTGATATCTTTATTTAAGGTTAAAAATAAACAGATGGTGGCAATTAATTGTCTGAGCACATTTATATTGGGGAGTGCCTGTAACACTGAGTAAGAATGGAAGGTTTCAATCCTTGTGAGCCAGTTGAGCTGTTAGCTACAATTTAACAGCTTCATGGTTTCTTAGAAAAGAAAAATATTATAAAAGCCAACAATCCCAATCAATTCAGAAAATAAATAGAAGGATTTGAGCTCTACTCTGAGGTCAGTCTCCCGTGATTTTACAGAGTTGTCCAAATTTGTAAGGCTTATCTGAAATTCATTTTTGAAATTAGATTTTGTCTTAACAGATCACACTTAAGTAAAATTGATTGTTTGTACAGTCAAGGCACCTCATGCTGCAAACAATGACAGAGTTTGACAGTACCTGAATATTGCCAGTTATGTATTCTGCATATTGCGGGGATCTGAATCTGGCAATTTGTATGGATTTGATATAAATCACAGTAATTTACAATTGCTGTGAAGCTACATACCTGGTGCATAGACGTCTAACAATGACTTACTTTCTGCCATCTCAGTAACAGGTGAGAAAATTATACAGTTTAGAAGATATTGCTTATTAAAACAAGTAATTTATGGCAACAGAGGTCAATTTCAGGAACTTGCAATCTGTGTACTTATTCAGCTGATTTCTACCAAACTAACCTGGACTCTGGTTCTATGTTGAACATTAACTGCATCAGCAAACAAAAACACAAAAAGGGAAAGTATCTTAAAACCACATTGCAAAACTTAATTGAAAAATTAAGAATTCTCAATGTTCCTTTTAAAGTGCTGCCTGTTTGTCCTCCTTAACACAGGGACATTGAACTGCAACCCAGTTTTATTGAAAGATGGGGATTTCCTTACACAAGTACAAAGCAATGTACATGTTTACAAATTTCTTTGAAACATCAGTCAATATAAAATTTTGATCTTTCTACCTGCCATCAAAATCAATGATTCACCATTAGTTGCTATTACTTGCTGAGTTTCTCCAGCAATTTCAAGCTTTGTTTGAGAACTCCAGCATCTACAGTTATTTGTTTTATTCACTTTTAGTTTATTGACACATCATATATCCACTCTTCAATTATAAATTCCTGTCAATTATAGAACCAGGAAGTGGTGTCCAATAATGAGGTAGTAAGATCATTGCTGAAAGTGGGTGATAATATTAAGCTGAATGAAATCAATTCAATTTGAAGAAGAAATGTTTTCATGAGTAGGCTTCTTAAATGAGCAATAGAGAAAATAATTGATTGGCAGCACTTTAAAAGGAACATTGAGAATTCTTAATTTTTCAATTAAGTTTTGCAATGTGGTTTTAAGATACTTTCCCTTTTTGTGTTTTTGTTTGCTGATGCAGTTAATGTTCAACAACCTATTTCCAGCTTAACTGACAGATGTAATAATCTTATTGAACATTTCTGCATTCCTTTCGAACAGCAGTGCAATGCAGCTGGTGGAATGTGCACCTGGAGTGTGCTCAATTTTTTTATCCAAAAAAGGTGGCTTTCCTCTGTTTTACCATGAACTATGTGACTATTTGGTAAATTGCAAACTGAACTCTTGGGATAAATCTGTCCAAGTGGACGAGATGCTTTGTGATTCAACCATGATGGAAGGCATAGGCTTTAACTTCAGCTACTGATAACATCAATCAATCGGCACAGGTTGACAAACAGGAGGCTACTGTTTTCTTCCAGTCTCCTGTTTGTTCTGAGGAAGGGTTACCAGACCCGAAACGTTAACTCTGTTTTTTCCTTCACAGATGCTGCCAGACCTGCTGAGCCTCTCCAGCAATTTTGTTTTTGTTCCTGTTTGTCTATCTTGGATTCTGGCATCTGCAGTTTTTTTGTCTTTAAATCGGCACAGGTTGATGGGTTGGTATTGAAGCAGCTTTAGATGGGGCTGCAGAGATAAGGTATATGAGCTATTTTGGTTTTAACATTAATTCTCAGAATGAATGGTTCAAAGCCAGAGAGAAACAAACAGAAAAATCTCCAACAATCACAAAGCAGAACTATGAAAAACCACCTAATAGCATAGAAAGTTTGTCCTTATGCCACCCAACTATTCCTTCAATAATAACGGCATTTTTGTCTCCACTACCTTACCTGGAAGGTCATTCCACATGTTGATCACTGCCTGTGGGAAGTGGAACTTCTTGTACATTGGTAAAAATTTGCCTGTTGTTAGTCTGAACCAAAGTCACACTTCCTCAATGTTGTGGTTTAACTTGAGTAACCTTCCAGATTTACGTTTAATTTAGTATTTATTATTTCCTTTACTTCTGTACCTCCTAGGTGCCCTTTTCTGAAGGCTGAGATTTCTGGCTGTTACTTCACAGCTGAGTCCTTTGACAGGAAAAGCTGGACTTGGACTTAACATGCTTCTGGCAGGGAGCATTTGGAAAAGGCACACCCCACACACAACTTTCTATCCATCACATTTAATGGTCAGCAATTCACAGTCACACATCTGATGTATATTGTTACCAACAACCCACAGAAGTCCTGAGGTGGAAAATCGCAGTCTCAGAAGGATCAGTATTGTGACTCTTTCTGTATTTCCTTCAAGGATTAAACATCTTCCTAGTGCCCTGAAGGGTTTACAGATCTCAAGCACCTTCTGGCAAAAAAAAGTGTTCTAAAGACTGATTTCCTTCAAATTATAGATATTTCCTGACCAACCTATTCAGAGATGTTATTACACATTTCTAGAGCAGTTGGGGCTTGAAATTGCTGAAGCAGAGGCTGGGACATTACCACTATCCTCTGAATTGTAATCTGCTGTTTTGAGGTAAATAGTCCAGTAATCCGTTAATTGTCGCTGCACATTAAGTGGACGGTTTAGCAGAGTAAGGTAGCAGTTATTCTCACACTGACCGAAAGAACTGCGGATGCTGTAAATCAGGAACAAAAACAGAAGTTGCTGGAAAAAGCTCAGCAGGTCTGGCAGCATCTGTGAAGGAAAAAAACAATTAAGTGAGGAAGGGTCACCGGACCCGAAACGTTAACTCTGTTTTTTCCCTTCACAGATGCTGCCAGACCTGCTGAGCTTTTCCAGCAACTTTGATTTTTTAATTCTCGCACTGTTGTCACCTCATTTGGATTCTGAGAACCCAGCCTGCGGGCTCCGTTTGTCAGAATGAGTTCGACCCCTTTATCCATGCAGGAGGCGTTCAAACTAAAAGTCTGTCATAAGGGAACTGAATTTTAGCAATGTAAACAACAGAAGCTGGCTCGTCAACACCAATGCTCCAGAATTTTGATTTAAACATCCCTGTTAAAAAGAAATTCTAACCGACCTGTGAGCAGAATAAGAAAGTCTGAGCTTCTCTGTCCCACCGACATAGTCCGTCAGCGGGACTTGTGCAGTGTTGAAACAGGGAGATAACAGACACAGACCGCACTCCTAACAGCAACATGAGAGTCATGCCCTCACGTTGAGTTTCGTTTGATATTCATTCGGATTCTAAGCACCGAGTTTCGAGAAGCTCCTTTCTTTTAACGTCCGTGCTGTTCAAAACCGTGAGTGCCCCACTTCCTCCCCGGTAACACATTGAGACTGGTTGCTCATACATTCGCGGAACACCATCCCAAAACAAAAACTGCATGAAATCTGAATCGGGGTGAATGGGAGCTTAGGGGAACCGGGGTGGGAAATAGGGAGGATGAACCATATTTCTGCCCACCTCCCCTCCCCTTCCCCCCAGGTGAATATTTACTCTTGCGGCCTTTCCCTGAACGTCAGGGTAAATATTGTGGCGAGCTGCAATTTTGCTATGAAACTGCTCAGGGCAAACCCGAACGAGACATTTGCTGGTCCTCAGCAACTCGCACCAATGCTACCTCTTATCGCCGTGCGACAGGGAAAGCCGGCTACTCGGCCCGTCGTGCCCGTGCTGGCTCTCTGCAAGAGGCTGCCAATGCAGCCCCCATGCGTGGCTGAGTTGTTCTCACTGGGTTTTGAGGAGACAGAGAGAGAGGGGATGGGGGAGAAGGGATAACAATTTTTTTTCAGTAAGTTAGACTCTCACCTCCACCACGTTCCTGGTGATCTTGCCGAAGGAGTTGGGGATAACGAGGACGATGGGCGCCGGCGAGTTGCTGGAGGCTCTTCTCCTGCCCGAGGTGGAGGGCACTGCCCAGTCCAGTGCCACCAGACCCTCGTCGGCCAACTGCAGGTAATCCCGGACGAAGTGGACGGCGGTTCCCGGGGGCCAGAACACATTCCAGAGAGTTTGCAGGTGGGGCAGCTTGCTCCAGGTACAGCGGCACGGCGCTCCCGAGCTGAAGCTCAGGCAGCTCCTGAGCAGGTACTTGGCGAGGGCGGAGGGTTTGTAGACCAGCCTCGGCACATCAGTGTCCCCCGGGCTCTGGGCTCCCTTCAGCAAACACCTCTCCGTCAAACTCCACCCGAAATACAGCCTGGTCGCCAAGTACAGCACGGCCAGGGACACCATGCCGAGTGTGGGAACCCACCATGGCATTGCCCAAGTGCCAAGTGGCTGCCAAGCAGGTCCCCCAAACGACAGCAAAACAAATCAAACGATAAAAACAACTCAGTGTGTCCCTTCCTTTCGGTTGCAGAGGATGGTATTAGATGCACAGTGTGTATTACCAGCTCCGAATGCTAGCTTTCTAAACCAGACTCACTCAGTAATTGAAAACGACAGAAACTGTGAGACACCAGACCAGTGTTTACTAAAGTGCTCCGCTCCAGTACACCAAAGACACTGACTGAAAGGGATAAACCCTTTTACATGCCCCCATGCAGCCGTCAGAGAGGAAGTTGATGTGATCGCATCGTCTTCCTATTCGACGTTGAGCATCTCGTCCCTTCAAATTAGAAAAAAACACCAACTTCGCGCCTGGTTATCGTTAAAACCTTTACATTCGCAGCTCCCAGGAGCTCTGGCTCCCTCCCAATTTACGCACTGTCTTCACACATTTCTCATCAACTGGCTCTAAAAAAAGGCACAACCGCTCAGGCTACTCCTGGTTATGTAACCTTTCACTGTGGTTCAGCGCTGTAAAAAGGCTGCTGTTAATTCTGCGCCTAAAACCTACGACACTTCTAAGCTCCTCTGTGCTTTACTTCACCCTCCTCACTGCGATAGGAAGGTCTCTGTGTGGTTTCTGTCTTTTGCTGAACTCAGGCGTTTTGTTTGAACCAAGCCCTGCTCTATAGACACATCATCCTCTTGGCTTCCAGCTTGTGATAAGGGTGCAGCAGTTTTCTCATCCACAGTACCCTAGATTAAGCTGTGTGTGTCTGTGTACAGCAGAAGCTGTGATATCTGTGAACTGTTAGGGGCCAGTGAGGAGGAAGAAGTGTCTGTCCTCTTTGTGGATTGCAACAAATGCTTGTATTTCTGTTTAGCGCACAGCCATCACATTTCAATTATACTGCAAGACTAACCAAAATTAAGGAGATAATTACAAGCTCTTCTTGAAATAACAGAAAGGAATTTTATTACCTTTTGGGTCCAGTGACCGAAAAGTTAACTCTGATTTGTCTCCACAGATGCTGCTAGATCTGCTGAGCTCTTTTTTTATTTTTGCTTCTGATTTCCAGCATCCACAATTCTTTCAGTTTTAATTTTATGACCTACTGACCCTGAGGAAAAAAGGTCATAAAATGGTATATCAAACCACACACACAAAAGCTGGTAATAAGTTTAAGAAGGCAAGAGTATCCATCTGGTAAATATCATTGATCTCCTATATCCTGTTTCCCGGTATAAATTTACTTTCATGTCTTGGCAGTTGGTTGAAGACAAGATGAATGTGGCTTCCATGTGGCTGTTCTCTGTGACCATATCTTGCTAAACCTTAGTGATCAGGAGAACTCCAACAGTAATTCCCTCTTCAGACCTTTCAGCAGTTTTTCTCTCACCAAATACTTCGTTTCCACATTGAAGCTGCCACTTTTTATCCCCTCCCACAATGCTTCTAGCCTGCCTCCCCACTCCCTCTGTGCTATGCAATTTTTTCCTTCTACATAGCTCTCTCTTCAAATTTCATCTCCCAACTTTAGTCCAGCCCATTTCCTCCAAGAAGCCAGCTGCTCCCTTCAATGTAACTCCCAGCCACTCAACTTCCCCTTCTCTGCACGGTGTTCATGGTCATTGTCAAGCTGCTACATTGAGCACTGCCCTGTATCCTTTTCATGGCACCAAAGAGTAATTGTGTTTACTTTTCTTACAAGGAGAAAGTATGAGAAATAGCTTATCCCTTGCACAGAGATGTGATAGTAAATATATGAGTTGTGCAAAGTAAAAGATGGCAAAACACTGCAATTGCAACAAAAAGAGAGGCTAAGCAGTTGAAATGAGAGAATCTTTAATAAGCAGGAAGCGAGTTACAAAATTTTTTTTTCTATTTTTGCTTGAGTAGTTCCATGGCAGAAAATGAGCAACAATTACTAACGTCTATTGTTGTTTTATATGATCAGGTAATGAAAGTTAATAAACTACACCGAAGGGATGAGAACAATACGTGTTTAAACTTTTCTAAATGTTAATTGATACTTAGTAAGGAATAACGGGCCCTTATTTAACTGAATCATGCTGCTGTAAACCACAAAAGCTTGAGTGATTTATGGATCATGTTTGAACCATGAAGTTAATTTATAACCTTTAATTTCTTCTCAACAATTCATTATTTTAAAATGTACATTTTGTTTTTGTAAAATGCGAGCAATGGTAATGAATGCATAGTGATGCTCTATTAATATAAATTAGAACTTTTGTGACTATTGTGAAATGATCTTCAGATTACATTTTTGCTGTAGAACGTAACAAGTATTATTTTTAGATCAAAAAGCAAATTTGTCCAACCTATTAATTAAAAATATGTTTCTGTGCAAAGCTGACTGCACAGGAAATACTGTGCAAAATGACATTATTGCCATTAGATGGACCCCAGGGTAAGTGATAATGAATTTGTGTGGGTGAAACCATGGCAATACTTCAAACTCATGGGTTAAGCAGAAATTTTATTGTTTGTGTGAAGTAGAGAATTATGGAATATACGGTTTTTTACCAGTCACCAATGACTACATAACTCATGAGACCAAATCCATAAAGGCATTACTTCTTTTCCATGTTATTGCTATCTAACAGATATTCATACATCTCTTTTGAGATAAAATATATTTTTGGAATTAATGTTAGGAATTTAACATAATTTCAGTTTGTTACTAATTCAGGTTTTCTTGCATGTACAGCTTACAAGAGACTGGGACAGACTCAGTGATGTCATGGAAAGTAATCCAAAACCAACAATATGAGAAAAGAATATATTTAAATATTGTGCGGAAAAAACAAATTGAAATAAACAGATGGTAAGGTTAAAAGCAAAAGCAACATACCATGGATGCTGTAAATTTGAAATAGAAACAGTAAATGTTTGGAACATGCCTCTTTTACCTCTAGACTCGACTATTCCAACATACTTCTGGCAGGCCTCCCATATTCTACTCTCCATAAACATGAGGTCAACCAGAACACTGTTGACCATGTCCTTGTATATGCCAAATCCCTGTACTTGCTGTCATACACTGGAAAATCAAGAAATACCTTGATTCTAAAGATCTCATTCTTGTTTTCCAATTATTCCATGGTCTCACCTCTTATCTCTCAAATCTCCTCCAGCAGTACAACCATCACCCCAGAGATATCTGGCATTTTTAGCATCTCCAATTTTAATCACTCTATTATTGATGGCTGTTTTGTTGTACCTAGGCCCTTAGTTGCAAAATGCTGTGTCTAAATTTATCTTCCTCTTTTTTTAAGATCCTTTGAATCCCTAGTACTACTGTATGTGGTTCAGTGTCAACTATTGCTTCATAATTCTCCTGTGAAGTTATTGGGATTAAAACCAAAATACTTGCTGGAGGTGCTAAATATAAATATAAGTTGTTGTAGAAACCCTCATTAGGCTAGGCAGCAAATATAAATAGGAAATATTTTCTGAAAAATGTAATCATGATCAAGTTTTCTCCTGCCCTGATGATGGCTCAGTGAAGGCATAAATGCCTGAAAAAAAGACACTAGTCTGCAGCTCACATGCATGGTAAAACATGCAATGATCTTTTTGAGGAGTCCAGCATAAAATCTTTTTCCTGATATATTTTAATGATCCAGCGCTTGGTGTGCAGGGGACAATTTCCATGTTTGCGGATGACACAAAGCTTGGAAGCATTGTAAACTGTGAAGAGGAAGAGGATAGTGGAGAACTTCGAAAGGACATAGACAAGTCAGTGGAGTGGGCAGACAGATGACGGATGAAGTTTAATGTGGACAAATGTAAAGTGATGCATTTTGGTACAAAGAACATCTAAATCCAGTGTAAACTAAAGGCTGCTACCTTAAAGGTTGCACAGGAGCAGAGAGGCCTGGGTATGCATGTAGATAAATTACTAAAGGTGGCAGGACAGGTCAGTTGAGCAGTTAATAAACCATACTGCATCCTAAGCTTTATTAATAGGGATGTAGAGTAGAGCAGTAGGGAGGAAATGCTGAACCTGTTTAAGACACTGATTCGACATCAGCTGGAGTATTGTGTACAATTCTGGGTGTCATATTTTAAGAAGGAGTGAATTTTATGAATGAGTTGGAGAGAGTCCAGTAGAGGTTTACAAGAATGATACCAGAAGTGTGAAACTTCAGTCATATTGATAGATGGGAAAAATTGTGACTGTTCTTCTTGGTCAGGAGATTTGATCAAAGTTTTCAAAATCATATGGAGCTGGGCAAAGTAAATAAGGAGAAACTGTTCTCTCGCATTAGAGGATTAGAGGTCACAGATACAAAGTGATTTACCAAAGAGGAAATTGTGACCTGAGAGGTCGCGCAGGGAGGCATTAGGGTCTGGAATGTAACTGACTGGAAGAGAAGTAGAGGTGGGTTCAATTTAAGCATTTTGATTTTTGTAAGTAACAGATAATTATTTAAGTAGAAACAATATTCAAGGTTATGGAGAAAAGGCAGGAGAATGACACAAAGACATAATGCTCATTTAGAGAGCCAGTGTAGACATGATAGGCCGAATGGCCTTCTTTTGCACAATAATAATTCTGGGATCCTGGGATTCAGTGAGGGCACACCATGGACAACTCAGACTACTGACATTTTATGTACACTTTATCCTTCTTATATTTGTTTACTTTTTATGTTTATGTCAAAAGATCAGTCAAAAGATTTTGTCCATATTTCCTAGTTAAAGTCCTAGTGGGTTTTTAAATGATCTGGGAAGACTGGAATAAATTTGGTTTCACAGTTGAATTACAGTCAATGTAATCCTTACTCTTGTTGATATTTTGTTGAGAGCATTAATCACTCCTGCTGGCTTATGAACCATAAATTTCAGTCATTTAACTTGAAAATTTGGTCCTTCTGCCTACCAGCTAGGTTCAGTAAGGCCATGTGGAGCGGTTGGCAGTGTTTCTCACACTTCTTTGAATTTGCCCCACTGTGAAGATCATGCATGAGGTACCTTGTGATGGGTGAAAACAGCAGTGTGACTCTGGAAGGAGTTCCTCAGCTTCCTCAGGAAGATGCAAAGGAGGATCCTTGCAGTGACCGTCACATGGCAAATGTTTGTGAATCAAATGTTAGTTCCCACAATTGTACTTGTCTACCTTCTTGAATAAAGCCACAATCACAGTGTCCCCAAGATTCAACAACATATGCTCTTTTTCTCAGATGGGGGATATGACATTGTGCAGCCATGCAAGAGTGTATCTTCACAATGTTTCCACAAGGATTCCTTCTGTTCCAGGAGTTTTGTTACATTTTAGCTGCTGGGTGGCTTTTTTCAACATCTGCGCATGCCTGGTATGATCTCACAAAAACCTTTGACTTTGTCAATTGTAGATGATGTTCCTCAAATTTGGCTACCTTCAGAAATTTGTCACCATTGTCTGCTTACTCCATGACAACATGCAATAAGTGATCCTCACTAATGGCACCACCACAAACCCTATCTTTTTGAAAACTGGTGTCTACTAAGAACATGCCATTGCACCAACTCTCTTCTCCATTTTCCATGCTGCATTTCTATATCTCTACAATAACAAATTACCAGCAGGCATGGGGATAATTTAAAGAACAGATGGAAAGCTGTTCAAACTGCTGCCTCCAATCCAAAGCCAAAACCATTCCAACCTCTGTCATAGAGCTTAAGTACATAGAAACGCTTGTGCATACTCATTCAGAAAATGAACTCCAGGCCAGTGTAGACTCCTTCACCAAACCATATGAGAAAATGGACCTTTACTAAACACAAGGAAAACTCAAGTCCTTTCCCAGCAGCTCCTACAGCAAAACACCTCTGCCCATCAATTGAGATTAACAGCAAGATTAAAACATGGACCATTTTTCATATTTTGGGAGACTGTCTTGATAAAGGCAGGCAGAGATAACAAAATTCATCATCATCTCTAATGTGCCAGCTCAGCTTTTGGACAACTGAGGCAAGACTAAGATCAGGCTTTACTGGGAAGCACTGATCCCCTGCTTCTACTTGCTTTGGAGGCTAAAAGCAACCTACAGCTGGCACCTCAAAGCACCTTGGAAACAATGCCAACAATATCTTCGCAAGGCACTCAAAATTAAGCAGCAAGAAAGGTATCCAACAGTAGTCTCATCCCCCAATCCAACGTGCCCAAAACTGAGGCATCAATCATTCAAAAAAAGCTTGGCTGGACAGAACATGTCTTTCATATACTTGACACCAGACTCGTGAAGCACTTACTATTCTTAGAATTCAGGCTCACTTAGGATACTCTCAGAAGGACAGTGGAAATGTTGAGGGACATCCTCAGAGCATCCCTGAAGAGGTCAAACATACCCTTTGATTCATTGGAGACCCTGTCTAGTCATCACCGAAATGGAGTATGGTCAATGGATGGCACCAACTGTATCGAGAGACTTCATCAGGAAGATGTTTTGGAGTAAGTGCAGAAAGCTCCAAACAACTCACCTACCCAACTTTTCAAATATTACTCTGCCGCAGTAACAGACAGTCCATATCATGCATTGGACTTATCAACAGTCTCAAAGCCCATCAACTTTGAATGGAAGCGGGTCACCTTAACCCCAAGCCTTAGCAGACTTTCCTAAGAAAAAAAATTCAAAAATCAACATATTAAGTTTTCAAGTAAATAATTGTCACACCTTTGGAATATTAAATTTATATTTTATTGTCAAGCATTTCACTGTTAATACACTGTATTCAGCTAGATATAGCTTAATAACTTTTTAATTCAATATCAACATTTTGTTCCAATAAATTATGGTCATGTTTCATCCTTTTATATGTTTGAAAATGATTTTATTGATTATCAACGTGAGGAATATCAATGCTGGGAAATGAGGTCTTTTCCACATACAACTCACAATATCAACATCAGACACTGCTAGGTCAAATGTGGTAGAAACTCAATGGGAAAATATTCTCTCTATTCGACTCAAAAATGTTCTTTTGCATCAATCATTGAAGAATAATGAATTCCTGGGCATTAATATTCCACTATGACTTTTTCATTTTCAACATGATTATCATTGTTGTTTTTTTGAGTTTAGAGTCAGTTTAAAGCTTTGTGTGGCTATTATGCACTTGCTTACTTGTTAGACTGCCAAGTAAAGTAATGCAAAAAAATGTATGTTAATATATTTAGTTTGGGGCGGTGGTGGGGTGCGGATTTGGAGGTTGTGGTGGTAGTCAATTGAATGGGTGTTTTCAAGTAATGAAAAGATGTTGAAAATGATGAATAACCAGGGAGACTAAGGGTTCAAATACATAATTCTTTGAAAGTGTGAGCACAAATATACAGCGTTATGAAAAAGGCTAACAGCATTTTGCATTTAATAAATGGAGGCATAATGGAGGAGAGAACAGTAGTGAGGATAACTTTGGACTAGGCAACAATTCAACTTATTTAGAGACAATGCAGTTTTGGCAGCTCCATCACATATATATTCACTACAAATGTCTTCAGGACAAAACTTATCATCAGGATAAAATGAGGAGGAGCATAAAGTACTTGAAGTAGTGTGTACTATCTACAAGATGCACTGCAGAAATAATTCACCAAAGATCCTCAGACAGCACCTTCCAAACCCATGACCACTTCCATCTAGAAGGACAAAGGCAGCAGATATATGGGAATAGCACCACCTAAAAGCCACCCGCCATCCTGACTTGGAAATACATTGCCGCTCCTTCACTGGGTCGCCAGGTCCAAATCCTGGAATTCCCTTTCTAATGGCACTGTGGGACAACCTGCAGCAGGTGGACTGAATCGGTTTGAGAAAGCAGCTCACCACCAGTTTCTCAAGAGCAACTCGGGAAGGGCAAGAAATGCTGGCCAGCCAGCTACACCACATCCCACAAAATGAATTTTTAAAAAAATTCCTTTGGAACAGAGGGGTTAGAAGAAAATTTAATAGAGATTTTTAAATAAAGATTTTTAACAGATGCATAGGAAAAGAAAGAACTTTTTAAGACTTGCAATTACAGTTTATAGTTCCTTAACATATCTAATGACATCCTAAAACCCTTCACAGCCAATTAATTACTTTTGAAATATCAACATATCAACAAACGTCAATATCAAATCTGTATATAATATCCAAAAAAATATAAAATGTAAGTTAAAAGAAGAACTACAGATGTTTGAATATCTGCAACAAAAACAGAAATTGTTGAAGGAACTCAGTAGGTCAAGCAGCATCTGTGGAGAGAGTGTAGAGTTTACATTTTGGGTCCAGTGACCCTTCTTCAGAACGAATGAAGGTAAATGACCAGTTACTTTGTTTAGTTGCACTATGGATACTAAAAGGGCTACAGGGAGAACTACCTGATCTTCTCTGAATATCATTATAATTTTTTTAATATCCACTGAAAATGCAGTAAGGAAGGACCTTGGTTAATAACTTTTTTGAAATATGGCATCTCTGGCAAGGTAGCACCCAATACTTATCAAAGTGTCAGCCTAGATTATGCAGTTAAGGTCCTGTTATGGTAATCAAAACCTGATTCAGAGGTGAGAGTGGCTCCATGAAGCCAGGATGAGACTGAGAGACTCCTTAAATGTCTAACACAATGATTTTGTCAGATTTGTAGCTGAGAGGTACATGCAAAAATTAAGCTCCATAACACAACAGGTATGGCAATAGTATAGGAACAGTTCCAAGCTTTTGGGCAAGTTCGCAATGATAGGTCATCAATGTGATATTGTCTTCAAGAAAGTGATGGGACAAATGTAAGAGATTTTAATTTTACACAGAGTGGGGAGCAGAAGATGGAATTTTTTTCCAAAGGGAGTGGTTAAAACACAAGCCATTGCATCTTACGAAACAGTGCATAAATATTTGTAGCAGAGAAGTTATAGAGTGAAGGGAAAAAATCAGGGGACTGGCTCAGTTTAGGATTGATCTAGTCAAGAGTTGGAACAGACATGTTTGGGATGAACAGATGACTATAGATCTATGATTCCCTGGCCTTCCAGCACTGGGAGTTTTCTTGTTAGAGTAAGTGATTGACATTGATTGCTGTGATAATTCAATAGTTCCAATTTCATTATATAGAATGGCTACTGATATTTCTTCTAGGACGAGGGCAAACAATCTGAGCTTATAGTCCATAGTGGTATTAACAACAAAGTTAGGAAGGGAGTATGTGGTCCTGCAATTGGAATTTGAAGTGCTTGGTATAAAATTAAGAAGCAAGACTGTCAAATAGTAATCTCCAGATTACTCCCAGTGTCACATGCAAGTGAGCACACAAATAGAAAGATAAGACAAGTAACTGTGTGGCTGGAAAGATGGTGTAGGAGGAGGAGGGCTTTAGATTCCTGGCAGATTGGGACTGGCTGTGGGGGAGATGGCACCAGGTGAGTTGTATCTGACTGACATCCTTGCGGAGCATTTTGGTCGTGCTATTAGGGAGTGTGTAAACTAACGCAGCAGTGGTGTGGAAGCCAGGAAAGAGTATTAGAAAATAATACTAGGTGCATTAAATGTACGGAGAGGCAAATGGCACTAAAGTAGAGAACAGTAATTTAGTAGGTGAAGATAGAGCAAAGAGGAAGCAATGAAAGATAAATCATACTGCGTGTATGTGAAAACGCAGGGTAAAGTTAATAAGATTAAGGAGTTACAGGCAGGATTTTCTTGTAGGATTATAATGTTGTAGTGGTAACAGAGACCTGGCTTAAGGAAGGCTGGATCTGGATGTTTAGTATTCCTGATTAGAAGGTATTCAGAAGAAATGAGAAAGGAAGAAAAGGAGAGCAGGGTCATTGGGGGAATATTGCATTACTGGAAGAAGAGGATGTTTCAGAGAACACAAGGAAAAAATCAATTTGGCTTGAGCTAAGGAACAGGAAGGGTGTAATTTCATTGTTCAGTGTAATATATAGACCACCAGCTTGTCAGAAGAATAGGGAAGAACAAATATGCAAAGAAAGTACACAGAAGTATAAACATTATAAACTAACTATAATGGGGATCTTTATATATTCAAATTTAGACTGGGATAGTGGCAGTGTAAGGGGCAATGAGGAACAAGTGTCTAGTATATGTTCAGGAAAATTTTCTATAGCAGTATGTGTCCAGTCCAACAACCCGATGGCCTGAACATAGAATTCACCAGTTTTAAACTGTCCCCATCCCCAGCCTCATCCCATGTCCAACCCTCCCTCTCATCCCCGCCTCCTTGACTTGACACAACCTGTTCGTCTTCTTCCCCACCTGTCCGCCCCACCCTTCCCACTGACCAACCCCTACTATAGTCTACCTGCATCCACCTATCACCATTCCACCTACCTTTCCCCAGCCCCACCCCTCCTCCCTCTATCTATTTCCCAGCTCCCTTCCCCCTCCCCAGTTCCGATGAAGGGTCCTGACCCAAAACATCGACTTTCCTGTTCCTCTGATGCTGCCTGACCTGCTGTGTTCCTCCAGCTCCACACTGTGTTGACTAAAGCACGGGGTACTGTTCTAAAGCGTGTACAGGAGCAGAGAGCTGTATGTGTATGTAAGTCATTGGACTGTCACAACAAGTACTGAGAGCTATTAATAAAACTTATACATAGTCATGTTCATAAGTAGGGACAAACAGTAGAAGAACAGGGGGGATATGATGAATTTGTATAAGGCATTAGTTAGACCCCAGTTGGAATATTGTGTACAGTCTAAGCAGTAATTTTAGGAAGGATGTGAATGAATTGAGAGAGTACAGAAGAAATTTACAAGAATATTCATAGGATGAGAGATTTCAGTTATGAGGATAGATTTTAGAATTGGGATCGTTTTCCTTGGAGAGGTGAACACTGATGGTTGATGCAACACAAGTTTTCAAAATCATGAGGCATCTGGACAGAGGCTATTTGGAGAAACTACTCCCATTCACAAGTGGATGGAGAACCAAAGGGCACTGTTTTAGTGTTTGGCAAAAGAACCAAATGCACCTTGAGAAAAATCTTTTTCACACAGCAAGTAGTTAGGGCATGAGGCAGTAGTTGGAAATGCATTGCCTGGAATTGTGGTGGAAGCAGTTTCAATTGAAGTACTTAAGATAGCATTGGATGATTACTTAAATAGAAACAATGTGCAGGGATAAGGGAAAAGGTAGGAGAGTTGCCACTAAATTGAAACACCCTGAGGGCCAGTACAGACACAACGGACCAATTGGACTCCTTCAGCACCATAACAATTCTGTGACTTAGTGATATCATCATCTGGATCATCAAAGGAAAAATGGACAGACATCGATGTTTATTTTCTAGCAATCTCTACATTCCTGTGACACGTTAGACTGAAAGGCCTCCTTTTGGATTTTGGCTTAATGCCATCAGAGTCAGCAAGCAAAGACTTTCATCCAAGTTGCCAACACAGGATTTGAAACCAGTTTCCAGGGTTATTAATCCAGTGCATTATCCCACCATCAAAATTATCATATCTTATTATAGTGGCATACCATTGATTGTGGGTGAATCCTGGAACCAAATCACTTCTATTGATCCAATGTTTAAATCTCTGTGTAATGTCACAGCATTTACTCGCATTTATATGCATTTACTTTAATGTACCTACGTGCATCAACATCTGTGTCTATTTTATTGCAGTTCTGTAGTTACATATTTTGTATTACTCATAGCACATTTACATCAAATGTGAGTGGAAGTTGCTACCGACAATGAAAGAAACATGGCA